CAAGTGTTCCAGAGTAGGAGGGAGAAACCATAGCTTATACAAATGAATACTACATAGCAAAGAAAGCAAATGGATTACTATCACAGAGAGTAAATGGAATACTAACATGGATGAGTCACACAAAATGTAAAACTAAAGAAGCCAGGATATATAATATAGGACTCATTTATGTAATTAATAGTGACTGAAGTCAGCATAGGTTATCCTTGCAGGAGGTAGTGACCAAGAAAGAGCCCTCTAGGGGGCTGTTAATGTTCTGTATCTTGGTCTGGGAGCATTTACTTGAGTGTATATGCTTTGTGAAAATTCATTATTTGTACACTTATGCTGTGCCCACTTTTCCACATTATAGTTCAATAATGTTTAGTTGAAAGATATATTGGCTTCTTTTTAAAATGTGATGTATACAGATTTGCAGCACAATCTTGTGAGAACTTGTTAAAAAAGGCAGATTCCAGGACCAATCAAAATTACTGAATCAAATTTTCTATAAGTAGAGTAAACTCCCCAGATAATTCTTATGGAATCCAAAGCCTGAAAGCCTTCATGTGGGGAAGATATTTAATGTCACAGAAAGTAATAAAGAGTGGACTTTGGAGACAAAATGCCTGCATTCAATTCAAGTCTCTGATATTTAGTAAGTTGTGTGATCCTGGGGAATGCATTCCAGTTTCCTGGGCTGTGCTTTCCTCAAATGATAAAATGAAAACAGTAGTACTTTCCTCTTATGGTTGTTTTTGAGGAGGAAAGTGAGTTTCTATGTAAAGTGCTTAAACAGTGACTGGCACCTAGTAAGTACTGTATAAATACAAAAACAGAAAAACAAGTATCTGTAAATATAGGTGAATTTATACATAAGCTACAAATGACTGCAGAGATATTCATGAAAGTGTTCATACTGTTATCTCTGGATTATGTGATATTTTGAATTTTGCTTTTATCACCTAATTTCCTATAACGAAAAATTTCTTTGTTATGAACAGTTGTTTTTGAAAGTTGGTAATGTGATTTAGTTGACTATGCTTTTCTTAATATCTTCTAAACATTACAGCTAGAGGACACCTTGCTAGTAGGAAACAAAATCTTTAGAGCAAATTGCACATGAAATTATACATTTATTAAGTAGAAGAAAGTGAGGCATTCTCTACTTGGTCACTCAGGCACTGTGACAGGACCAAGTAGAGAGAGTGCCCGAGTCCGCACAGGACCAAGCACAATTCTGCACAACTTTCCTTGTTTCCAGCTATCAGGAAGGAGAGACCTTTCCATGGAGGCTGAGTACTATATTAGGAATCCACAGGCTTTTCCTGCATTTTCCACACTGGAATTAACCAATCAGGCAACAGTTTCTAGAGGCAAGTACACTTTCAGGTATATAAAGTCAAGAGATACTGAGGGTGAGGTAGTCAACCCATGGTACTATCACTGAGAAAAAACAAGTAATTCAACTAGAGTGTACTTATTTAACCCTCTTTCTGGGTTTTCTTTTTTGACCTTTTCTCTCCTTTCTTTCTCCTATTCATCTCTTTTGATTTTCTTCCTTTTGGTCCTTCCTAGGCTTTAAGTTTGCTTGTATGTAGCTCTTAGAAGTTAGTGGCTCTGCTTCTGACTTACGCACCAGTGTGAAGAGTGTCAACTCAGAAAGTTCAATCTCATGTTAATCTTTATTAAATGTTTTTTTTATTTGAAAGGTAGACAGATAGGGCTCTCACCTGCTGGTTTATTCCCCAAATGCCTACAGGGGCTGGGGTAGGGCTGTAGCCAGAAGCTGGGAACTCAATCAGGTCTCCCATGTGGGTGGCAGGGACCTAACTATTTTAGCTACCACCTGCTGCTTTCTAAGGTCTGAATTAGCAGGATGCTGGAATAGGGAGCTGGAGTCAAGAATCAAACCTACGAACAATGATATAGGGTGTGGGCTTGGTAATTAGCATCTTAACCACTAGATCAAAGGCCTACCCATAATCTCCATTTTTTAGTCACAAATCTTGAATTATGCCAACTCCTAAAGTCAACACTAACTTAATCAAACTTTAGTAATGTACAAATATTTCAGTGGCTCCTTATAAAATACTTCTTTGTACCTAAGACATTTTAAAAGTTTAAGGTACAACCTACACATTAAATAAGGAAGAATGGATTTCAGATGAACAGCAAACAATAAAAATGTTAGCAGAGTGGTGAAGGTTCTTTAACAGCACCCAAAAAGTGAGTAATGATGGTAAGCAGAATCTCATAAACAAACCTTTAAGTGAAATGAAGAATCAAAGATAGATGGTATGACTCCAGGTTTCAACTTAATATTTGGAGTACTTCTATCAAAATCTGACTTCTTAAAGTGCCTTGAGCATAACACATCTCCTTTTTTAGGTTCCCAAATGCCTGCAGCATTCACATCAAGTCTTTTCATTGCCAATACCCATTTTCTTTTGATGTTTTCATCTGTGGGGAATCTAGAAAAGAATATTAAAAATTAAACAGTATGGATATACTTGAATTAAATCTGTCTTATATAACTGGCTAAGGCTGAATTAATTCCTTCACTAGTTTGTTACCACTCTTGGGAACTGAAATATTCAGGGAACTATGTTTTATGTTTTCATAAATCTCAATTTTAATGTTCAGATTTTCTGCCAATTATGCTGTAGACTGTAGCCCTCATTTCAATTCTTCGCCTAAGGAAGAAAAATTTCAATGGATATTCAGCACTTTATATTAAGATCCACAGTTGAAAGGTTTTTCTTAATCCATAAGTGATAAAGAATGTCCCTTAGCCTTTTCCTATCTGAAGTGATTTCCAGATTTTCTCTCTGGTGAATAGGGCTCCTTGTACTTTCATTTTTCTGTAGCACAAGAAAATTTCTTAGTCCAGCATTTAATACACAGCAGGTCTACAAATGCTTGGTGACTGAGAAGTTGCAGAGTTTGGAGTTCTGGGGATCAGACCTTTTTTGAGAGATCTGGACGCCAATAAATTTCTAAATTTTCCAAGCTGGTTCAGATCTTTTTTGGAATACAGTAGGGTACATGTGGGTAGCAAATCTCTAGCAGATAGCACAGTGCCTGACACGTAAGTGGCAAAATAAATCTTCAGGAAATGAATCATTTTAAAATCTTATTGCTCATTCTCTCCTGCGGTTGTGAGGAGTATAGCTAAAACACTAAATTAGGATCATCTGGACTTACCTGTAATGCAGCTAAACAACCCTCGGTCGAACATGTAATTTATTTTCCTACAACCTATCCTTGGTCTATTTCTAAACAGAAAAGACAGTATATATTTGAGCAAAGCAGCTTCCTTCAGATTGTCAACTACATATAAGCCACACTGAATTTCCTTGAAGGTATGTTAAAATGCAAAGTAATATTAGCAAATTGATTTGGATATATATATATTTTGTTAACTAGTCTCTTGAAAACCTTGGCAGGTATCTTAAACTACATTGCAAAAGTGTAAGGTTGTCACTGTCACTTCAAGTTTAACTGAAAAGGTGATTTTAAAAGCACTTGGGCACTCAAGTTCAAAATTGAATACTTCAACAGAACGATCTTGGCTTTCTATCCGTCAACAGCACTCTGCTTAACCATGGCCGAATCTTACACGTGAAACGTCAGTCCCTTCAATTTGGAATTTGGCAAGCAGCGGGAAGCGCATCCAATGGCAGAGCAACATTTCACCATGATTTTAGCAGCTCATCAAGGAACTGAAAGAACAGGAACACGCGAAGTTAGTGACTTCAGAGCAGCCTGGGAGCCTCCTCACCTCTCCCAGGACGTTTTAGGACACATGTAACAACGCGACAAAGCCGAAGGCCAATGTTCCCTTCCAAGCCCTGCAGCTCTGCGCATCAAATGTTCCGGGGGCTTGGCGCTTTCATAAGGCGAGGGGTCTACCTGCACTTCTGGAGCCTTGCACACGGCCAGCCCCGCGCCCCCCAAGACCTCCTGGCGCGCTAACCGCGGCTCGCCTGGCCGCCTACCCGGGCACCTTGCTGGGCACCCGGCTCCGGTCAGTGCCTGGCACCTCGGGCCTCCCAGGCCCCCGCTTCTCCCTCGCACTTGGCCGTCATTCTACATTTACCCCCGCGACTCTGACCAGTTTTCCTCCCCACCCGGCCGGGCGCTGCGTGAGGGGGCGGTGGGACCGACTATGCTTTCACTTTTTCGTCCTCACGGCTCAGCCGCGGACGGGGCCCACAGTCAACGTGAATACACTGAATGAATGACTGAAGCAAGAGCGAGCAGAGCCGAAGGGGACGGGAGCAAGCAGCAGGTCGCGGCGCCGGCGCGCGCACGGCCCGGCTCCCGAGCTCCAGGCCTGGCGGCGCTCCGCCCCCTTCTCGAGGCTCCCGGCCGCCCGAGGGAGGGAGGGGCCGCCCTGTCACAGGTGCCGGTCCCCTTCCTCGAGGGCCAGCTGGCGTCTGCGCGCCGCTGCAGTCCTCCTCGCTCCGAGACGCGCTCCAGAATTCGGGCGGGCAGCGATGCGGAGCAAAGCAGCAGCGACATAAGAGTAATTACCGTTCGCAGCGAAGACAGCGACTACCATCGACGACAGATATTGCGTCTCCCCTCGCTTCCGCCCCGTCGCCCCGGGAACCGGAAATCGGCCTGCCCCGGGTCACGTGCCCCTCCGCCATCTTGGCCCCGGTGGCAGCCGCGGCCGGGAGGGGGTGCGCCCGAGCGGCGCTGCTTCTCTGGGCGTGGTTTGCATCCTGGGGGAAGGGTCTGTGGTGTGTGAGGGGAGGTGGTGGAGATGGCGGCGACGGCGCGGGAAGATGGCGCCCGCAGCCGGCAGCGAGGGCAGCGGGGCTGCGAGCACTATGACAGAGGATGTCTCTTGAAGGTGACGGCTTCAATGGGCTCATCTCCGACGAGCTTCCGCCGGGCAGGGCTGGGGGCGGGGTGGGCAGGGCGGTGAGACTTGGGTTTGGAGTTTGAAGCTAGGTTGTTTGTCGGGCTACCTCGCTACCTGAAATGTTTTGGCCAGGCGACCATAGGCCCCGTATTTCTTTTCTGTGTGGTCTTTTGCAAGCAGAAACTCTTTTTGCTTGGGATGAGGGTCGGCTTGTGCAAATCCGTTTCCCAATGGGTTTATTCGTCTCTTGCTGCTGGAAGTAGACTGAGGTAGCCCCTGGGCCCACTTCCGGCGTGTGATGAAATAATGAGAGGAGGGTGGGAAACGGGAGACTGGAAAACGAGTTCAGCTCCTGTGGTGATAGTTCAGAGCCTGCTAGCTTCATTTGAGAGGCCATGCAAATATCCAGAGCTGTGAAGGAGAAAATATGTGTGTGAAGTCGGAAGTGTGAGCGCTGTGAAATGGAACATTACGTATGGAAAAGTGCGTCGTGTGTATATATGGCGACTTTTGCTGTTTGAATAATCCGGAGGTTTTTGAATTGGCACCCATCCAATTGAAGTGTCCCGATTTTTCTTGCAAGAAGTGGTAGCTTTTGCTTAGAAAGGTTGAGGGTTGGAGTTGCACGGCCCTGTCTCCAAATCTGAAGACGTTCCCATTAATCGCTGTGATTTGGAGCAAGCTGCTGTTTTAAATACCTCTTATGTTCCACAGGAATGATAGAAGTTCCGCTTCATAAACAAGTATGAGGGTTATAAACTAAAGAGCATATATGGTGTTTTAGCAGGGTGCTTTGCCTGGGATGAGTGTAAATGTAGACCTAGCACCACCGCTGTTGTCATCACCCAGTCGCCGTCCTGAATTCTTTGGTGGTTCCACTTCACCAGCCAGCCGTGCCGATGGTCATTGACTGGAGTCATTAGATACAGGTGGTAGTCTCAGGCTGGGACGAACCACATAAACTCTTTTCTGTAGGCCATGGTTAGGGAAACGTTCCGCTGTGTTGGATGGGGCCATTCAAATGTTGTGTAAGGAAATGGAATGCTATCCTTACTTTCCATTTCTATTGAGATATTCTTTTACTCTTTTTAAAAAAAGATTTACTGTATTTATTTGAAAGACAGAGTTACTGTTAGAGGTAGAGACACAGAGAGAGGTCTTCCATCCGCTGGTTCACTCTTAAGATGGCCACAATGGCCGGAGCTGTGCCGATCCAAAGCCAGGAGCTTTTTCTGTGTCTCCCACGTGGGTGCAGGGGCCCAAGGACTTGGGCCATCTTCTGCTATCCCAGGCCACATCAGAGAGCTGGACTGGAAGTGGAGCAGGCCAGACTAGAACCGGCGCCCATATGGGATGCAGGCGCTTCAGGACAGGGCTTTAACCCACTGTGCCACAGCGCCTGCCCCGGAGATGTTCTATTACTCTTTCAAACTTGAGATCTAAAACGAATTTGATATCTTGGACTCTTCTGTCCCCTCTGAAGAAACCACAGAACTAGATCTGTTTCATAGCATTCAGATAGTTGGCCCCGAGTGTCACTTTTTTGCCTTCCTCCTCCCTTCTTTTTTTTTTTTTTTTTTTTTTTGACAGGCAGAGTGGACAGTGAGAGAGAGAGAGACAGAGAGAAAGGTCTTCTTTTGCCATTGGTTCACCCTCCAATGGCTGCTACGGCTGGCACGCTGCGGCCGGCACACCGCGCTGATCCGAAGGCAGGAGCCAGGTGCTTTTCCTGGTCTCCCATGGGGTGCAGGGCCCAAGCGCTTGGGCCATCCTCCACTGCCCTCCCTGGCCACAGCAGAGAGCTGGCCTGGAAGAGGGGCAACCGGGACAGAATCCATCGCCCCGACCGGGGCTAGAACCCGGTGTGCCGGTGCCGCAAGGCGGAGGATTAGCCTAGTGAGCCTTGGCGTCGGGCCCTCCTCCCTTCTAAACATGGGAGGCCAAATAAAGTGTTTCAAGACAAGAGTTATGAACTAGATCAAATGCATTGTTTAAGTAATATAAAAGCTGAGAACTGAAGTTTGAATTTGGCGAGGAGGTCCCTGGTGATATTGAAGAGGAGTGGCGGTGGAGTGACTGGGGTAAGCCTCATTGGTGTGGACTCAAGAGATGCCATGAGAAGTGAAACTGGAATTACAGACAGTCCTTTTGCTATAAAGGAGAGCAAGAAAAAAAACAGTGAGACCTTGGTTGCTGGGAGATGTGAGATTATGGGATCCCTCCCCCCTTTAAGGATGGAGGTGTTACAACATGTTTGTTTTTTCTTAGAAGAAGTGAGAACATTTTGTAGTGGAGGAGGGAGAGGGTAAACTAGGGGCACGGGCCTTGAGTAGCTAGAGAGGCTGAGATCCTGTGCACAAACAATTGGCCTTAGAAGCCGGGACTGTACATTCTTTGTGAAAGAAGTGAAGGCAGAGGATGAGGCTTTTTTGCAATAGGTTGACCAGGCAGTATGCTGATGCTTTTTCTCTAGCCATATTCAGCTGTTCCTGAGAAAGGCTGAAGAGAGTTGGGTTTAACTCGGTTTAGGTTCCGGAGGACTTTGGTACAGTAACTATGCAGAGGAAGCCAGGAGGGAACTGGGCTGTATGCAAGGGAGGACTGGGATCGAGTTGAAAAGAGAGGTGGCAGAGAAGTTTCCTGCTTGAAACTGGAGCAGCAGTTCAAGTGGTCAGTGGTCCCCGTGGGTCGCTGAGGCCCCTTCAGGGTGTCTGTGAGGTCAAAACTGCTTTCTATCAATGCTGATATATTATCTGTCCTTTTCAGTGTGATGGTGAAAATCAGTGCCTAAAACTGCTAACACCTTTGTATAACTCAAATCAGTGGCACTGAACTGTGCTACACCTGTTGTTTTAACAAAAAGGGCCAGTGAACTAGTGGACAGAAGATCTCTTGATCTCTGTCACTCTGCCTTTCAAATAAATACGTGAATTTTAAAAAAGGGCAGTTTCTCTTACAATGTTGTTAGTGAAGCAGTGACAGTATTTTATCAACTCTCTTTAATGCCCTGTGGAACCAAATGGGACTTTTTCCTCAAGTACTTCAGCAGATTGAAATGAGATGGTTGTTTTGAGGCAGACCTCTTGTGCAGTTGGATTGTGAAGGGAACTGATGGTTCTTTTCAAGGAGTAGCATTTTTTACTTGAAGAAAGTCATTCAGACTTGGATATATTTGGCAGACATTTTCTTGGAAAGGAGGGAAGCAAGACTGTTTATTGCAGGTGATTGAGTTGAAGCTTTCTTGTAAAAATTAAAATTTTGGAAAATTTTATTAGCTTCTCTGAACTTGAAAATTTCTCAAGACCAGCAGACTTTTCTATTGAGATTGTCTTCCTAGTCCTAAAGACTTCAAGTGAATGATTTTTTTCATATTGTATGTGAATGTATGAACATTTGGAGGGCCTACATAATTCAGGGTACTGGCATTTTCCAAATGACAAATGCAGGTTAAAAGATGTATTTGAAATGTGAGATAGATTAGTCAGTTTTAATGTAACAGACAAAGGGTCATTGATTGCATTTTAGATTCCATGTTCTAAGTAGTAAGAATTGTTGAAGGCCGGCGCCGCGGCTCACTAGGCTAATCCTCCGCCTAGCGGCGCCGGCACACCGGGTTCTAGTCCCGGTCGGGGCGCCGGATTCTGTCCCGGTTGCCCCTCTTCCAGGCCAGCCCTCTGCTGTGGCCAGGGAGTGCAGTGGAGGATGGCCCAGGTGCTTGGGCCCTGCACCCCATGGGAGACCAGGAAAAGCACCTGGCTCCTGGCTCCTGCCATCGGATCAGCGCGGTGCGCCGGCCGCAACGCGCCGGCCGCGGCGGCCATTGGAGGGTGAACCAACGGCAAAGGAAGACCTTTCTTTCTGTTTTTTTCTCTCACTGTCCACTCTGTCTGTCCAAAAAAAAAAAAAAAAAAAAAAAAAAAAAAAAAAAAAAAGAATTGTTGAATTTTGATGTAATATTAAAGAAAATCCATACTTATATGAAAGTCTTTAAAAATTTTAACTTTATTTTTAACAGATACATAGAAGTTTACATATTATGAGATACCATTAACAGGCTTTTTTAAAAAATTAGAATATTTGTTTTTATTGGTACACAATAATTGTACATATTTATGGGGTACAATGTAATATTTCAATACAGGCATACATTTTAATGATCAAATTAGGATAATTAGCATCCATCACTTTTTATATTCAAGATTTCTTTGTAGTGTGAACATTCAAAAGTCTTGTAGCTATTTAGAAATATACAATATGTTTTGTTAACTATTGTGACCTTACTGTGCAATAGAACACCAGAAGGATTATTTTTACAATAAGAAAAAAATACTTTTTAATTCAATAAAGGTAAACATTTCTGAGGTTTAATTTATATATATATTTTATATTTTTAAGTTTTTTTATTTGACAGGCAGAGTTAGACAGTGAGAGAGAGAGACAGAGAGAAAGTTCTTCCTTCCATTGGTTCACCCTCCAAATGGCCGCCATGGCTGGCGCGCTGCGCCAATCTGAAGCCAGGAGTCAGGTGCCGCCTCCTGGTCTCCCATGTGGGTGCAGGGGCCCATGCATCTGGGTCATCCTCCACTGCCTTCCCTGGCCACAGCAGAGAGCTGGACTGGAAGAGGAGCAACCGGGACTAGAACCCGGCACCCATATGGGATCCCATGCTGCAGGTGGATGATTAACCAAGTGATTACCACAGCGCCGGCCCCCCTAAGCATTTTTTGAGAAAATTAACTTTGAAGAACCCAAGAGTGATACATCTTTTGTTAGCACTTAGACATAACTGTAGCTTATAAGACATAAGAATACTGAATACGCTAAAACGGAGTAAATCTTTGAGAACAAGTTTTACCATTTACTCTCACAGTCCAGCTGTTTGAGGACAGAGGTTCTGCATGGAAAGTTAGTGCACAGTGACACCTGTTGTTAATTTAACAATTAACACTTTCATGTATGACATCAGTGATCGCCCCAGGCTCTTTTTTTTTTTTTTTTTAAAGATTTATTTATGTGAAAGTCAGAATTACAGAGAGAGGAGAGGCAGAGAGAGAGAGGTCTTCCATCCGCTGGTTCACTCCCCAGATGGCCTCAATGGCCAGAGCTGCGCCAAACAAGCCAGGAGCCAGGAGCTTCTTCCGGGTCTTCTGCGCAGGTGCAGGGGCCCAAGGACTTGGGTTATCTTCTACTGCCATCCCAGGCCATAGCAGAGAGCTGGATTGGAAGAGGAGCAGCTGGGACTAGAGCTGGTGCCCATATGTGATGCCGGTGCTTCAGGCCAGGGTGTTAACCACTGTGCCACAGTGTCGGCCCCTCTCTCTCTCTCTCTTTTTTTTTTTAAAGATTTATTTATTTTGCTTGAAACTCACAGTTAGGGAGAGAGAGAGAGGTCTTTCATCTGTTGAGAGGTCTTTCATCTGTTGGTTCACTCCCTGGATGGCCACAACAGCCGGAGTTGCGCCGATCTGGAGCCAGGAGCTTCTTCCAGGTCTCCCACATAGGTGCAGGGATTCAAGGACTTGGGCCATCTTCTGCTTTCCCAGGGCATAGCAGAGGGCCGAATCGGAAGTGGAGCAGCTGAGTCTTGAACCAGCATCCATGTGGGATGCTGGCACTGCAGGTGCTTTACCCACTACACCACAGAGCTGGCCCTGCCCCAGGCTCTTGACATGAGCTGCCTAGGTTATGGAAGCCTTTTGAATCCACAGACTCCTTCAGTATTTAGACAAGGCCGTAAGAAAAGTAGAAGCTCTCTCCTCCCTTCAGAGAAAAGTACATCCTTCTTTGATGACCACTTCTTTCCACTGGGGTCTTCCCACAGAGGTCCTTCATGTAGGACCCTTTTTGCTACAGTGTCTTGGCTTTCCGTGCCTGAAATGCTCTCATGAGCTTTTCAGCCAGACCATAATGCCTTAAGGGCTGGTGTGAACAGGCTTTTAAAATACTCCTTTCCTTTTCCAGTTAGGTATTTGTGTGAGGCCAGAATTCTTCATATGCTTCAACCACAACTGAATGTAGAAGCAGATATGAAAATCCAGCTATTCTGGGGGAAAGTAGTTGCTTTTCATTAAGTTTTTTTTTTTATTTTATTTTTATTTTTTTTTTAAGATTCAGTTTATTTGAAAGGTAGAGAGAGAAAGAGAGGAAGAGTGAGCTAGCTCTTCCATCTACTGGTTTACTCTCCCAGTGGCCACAACAGCTGGGCCAGGCCAAAGCCAGGAGTCAGGAGCTCCATTTGGGTCTCCTGTGTGAGTAGTAGGGGCCCAAGATTTTACGCCATCTTCTGTTGCTTTCCCAGGTACAGTGGCACGGAGATCCATTGGAAGCAGAGTAGCTGGGACTCAACTAGCACTCTTGATATGGATTGCTGGTGTTGTAGATGGTGGCTTAACCCACTAACCACGATGCTAGCCTTATTCATTAAGTTTTATTTATGTAATATGTAATAGATTTAACTTTTTAAAAAAGTAATATTTAACAAATTAGCTTTTTTTTTTATAAAAGATTTATTTATTTTTAAATCAGAGTCAGAGGGAAAGACAGAGAGAGAGACTCTTTCATCTGCTGGTTCACTTCCCACATGGCTGCAGTGGCCAGCGCTGGGCCAGGCTGAAGTCAGGAGCTTCAGCAGGGTCTCCTGTATGGGATGCTGGTGTTGCGCGTGGAAACTACCTATTACTGTTTTAATTTGTGCTGTAGTGTACATCAATAGATAGAATCCATGTGAACTGAAGCTCTTTGGGATCTTTGGTAATTTTTAAGAGTGTAAATTGGTCCTGAGACCAAGACTTTTTGAGACCATTCTTTTACAGTGTTAGAGTGACGGCAGGCGCATGAGGAGGATTGGAGGACAAGGCAATTGGAAGTGAGAAGGCCAAGGAATTGAGAGTTTGGGGTATTGAAGGATTGTCATTTTGGATATGGATCACTGAGATTCAGGACCAGAGTAGTGGTGGAGAGAAGGGAAGCCAGTCAAGTGTTAAAATCTTAAGAATAAGCTGTTACGGTAAGTCATGGCATAGGAAGCCTTCAGAAATGAGTGATTTTGCAAGGTTTGTGTACTAGAAAGTAGTGGGTTAGCTCACTGGCTTGGAATCTTTTGGTATACTAGTTAGGGCAAGGTTCCATGGCTCTAATGAAAAGACAGAATGGTAACGTGGTTTAAAAAATAGTTTGTTTCTTCTCACTTAATAATTCCAAGGTGAGGGATCCAGGTTGGCAGTAAGCCTTTGTTCCATGTGGTCACTCCAGGGACAGATTTTTTCGTTGTGTAATCTTGCCATGTTTTGGGCCATATGACCCTTTATGTGATCCAGTTGTAACAGAGGTGGGCAATCATGTGCCTCTGTAGAAGGAGAGTGTATATTTTGGTGGCAGTCTCTGGCATTTTTGAAAACAACAGGTATCTCTTAATATTTGTTGCATCTTCTTCAATGTTAGATCTATAGTTGCAGATTAATATACACTAATGAAGTAATATAATTATGTATAAGGTTGAGTATGTTAAGTAAATTTATCTGGAAATGTCTAGGAAGAGGTTGTCCATTTGCCATTTAAGCTAAGAATGAAATTAGTGTTTTCTGGGATTCGTTTCTAAGTCTAGAGATTCCCAAACTTCTTAATTCTTGCTAAGGTTATGTATAACTTCATATGGATATATATATGTTGCAGGAAGTAGTTAAAATAGGCTAAGAAACAGTGAAACATTAGCACCTATTCCATTTCTGGTAACCTTTGACCTTTTTCCAGGAGGAGGAGGAAGAAAAAGAAATTTTCTCTTGGCACAGCAAACTTGTTTTCTCTCTCTGCTTATATCTCTTTTTTTCTCTCCTGGGGTCAGGCACCTTGCTGTGACAAGCTTTATACTTGCCGCCTGTGTCATGATAACAATGAAGATCATCAACTAGATCGATTTAAAGTAAAGGAAGTGCAGTGTATAAACTGTGAAAAGATTCAACATGTAAGATTTTCATGACTTATTTCTATTTTGTAAAATCTTTTATTGAAGTGCTTTGAAAATTTAATCAAAAATTTTGCAAGTGATACTATAACTTAGATAATTATCTTTGATTTAGATGTTTTAAAATGTGTAAAATAAATAAAACTGCATGTACATCAACATAAATCCTGGACATTCAAATAGTCATTAAAAATGTCTCCGTAAGTTTATTCCAGTTTTTAATTTCTTGTGTCTTTTTTAGGCCCAGCAGACTTGTGAAGAGTGTAGTACATTGTTTGGAGAATATTATTGCAATATATGCCACTTGTTCGACAAAGATAAGAAGCAATATCATTGTGAAAACTGTGGAATTTGTAGGTACTGTGTGTAAAATGTTCTTTTCTAATTACCTCTAATGTTTCTGGGCAATAACAGTTTTTAAAATCAACTTTATGAGAATATAACTTACATCTGATAAAATGTATTAAGTGTCTAGTTTATCAAGTATTGACAATTAATTATATATATGTGTGTTACATTATTCTAAAAAGTGTCTTCATGCCTCTTTGTTTTTAATTTAGAGATTTATTTATTTATTTGAAAGTAAGGGTTACAGAGAGAGGGAGAGGCAGCGAGAGGGAGATGTTTTCCAAACATTGGTTCACTCTCCAAATGGCCAGGACTGGGCCAGACTGAAGCTAGGAGCCAGGAGTTTCATTCAGGTCTCCCTTGTGGGTGCAGGGGCCCAAATACCAGGGCTGCTATCTGCTGTTTTTCTAGCACACTAGCAGGGAGCTGGATCAGAAGTGGAGCCCATAAGGGATGCTGGCACTGCAGGCTGTGGCTTAACCTGCCATTAAACAGTGCTCACGTCCCCTTCATGTCTCTTCTGCAAAACTCATTTAAATTTAGCTTTAGGATATTTTTATGAAGTGTTTTATAGGCAACTGGGCTACAAAGTTGGGCTAAATTTTTCCTTTTTTATTAAAAAAGAGTTTTTAAAAATTACCAAAATATACTTATTGGTTTTATGAAAGTGAGAAAACAGGAAAATAGAGAGAGTAAAAATAAAATAACCTACAGTCTACTCATTTACAAGTGTACTACCTGCATCACTGAGAAGTTCAAACTTTGCCTCTAAAAGTTTTGATAGTCGAGTCTGGAAAATAAACTGAAGACATACAGGTTAGCAGGAGAAAAACCATCACAGGTTTATTAATATACATAGGCATGGGAGCCATACAGGATGGTGTCATGTGTTGATTAATTACAGGGACATGGGCCAGACTGAAGGTTAAGCCTCTGCCTGTGATGCCAGTATCGCATATGGGTTCAGGTTCAAGTCTCAGCTGCTCCACTTCCTATCCAGCTCTCTGCTAATGCATCTGGTAAAGCAGTGGAAGACCCATGTGGGAGACCCAGAAGAAGCTCCTGGGTTTGGCCTGGCCATTGTGGTCATTTGGGGAATGAACCAGCAAATGGAAGATCTATTTCCCTCTCTCCTCTCTGTCTCTCCCCTTCTCTTTCTGTATCTCTGCCTTTCAAATAAATAAATAAATATTTTAAACAAGTGATGGGGATACATTTTCGGAAACTTTGTTAGGTGATTTTGTTGTGCAGACATCACTGAGTGTACTTACATGGTACAGCCTACTATACTCCTAGGCTGTGTGATACAGCCTGTTAGCTCCTAGGCTGCAAACCTGTGCAGTGTGATGCTGTACTGAATACTGTGAGCAGTTGTAACACAATGGTAAGTATTTGTGTATCTGAACGTGGGAAACAATAAAAATAGGATGTAAAATAGAGGACACTTAACCATGAATGGAGCTTGCAGGACTAGAAGTTGCTCTGGGTGAGTCAGTGAGTGGGGAGGCCTAGAGCATTACTGTCCACCACTGGACTATCAACACTGTATGCTTAGGCTACACTGAGTTTATATAAAAATAGTAGATTAATCAACTTACTGTAACTTTTACTGTATAATCTTTAAAGTTTTAGCTTTTTGACTTGTAATAAACATTTAGTATGAAATATAAGCACATTGCACAGCTGTGCAAAAATATTTTTCCTTTATATTCCAGTTATATAAGCTTTCTTGTATTTAAAAAATTTTTACTTTTTTCCTAAATTTTTTTTTTTTTTTAAGTTTTTTTGAAAGGCAGAATTATAGAGAGAGGGAGAGACAGAGAGATCTTCATCTGCTGGTTCATTCCCTGAATGGTTGGGACTGGGCCAGGCTGAAGCCAGGAATCCAGAGCTGCTTCCTGGTCTTCCAAGTTGGTGTGGGGCCCCAAGCACTTGGGCCATCTCCTGCTGCTTTCCCAGGCACATTAGCAGGAAGCTGGGTTGGAAGTGTAACAGCTGGTCTGGAACTGGTGCATATGGGATACTGGCATTGCAGGTGGAGGCTTAACCTGCTAAACCATAATGCCTGCTCCTATTTTTTACTTTTTAAACTTTTTGTTAGAAACTACAACACAAACACGCACATGAGTGTATACTACACAGGATGAGGATCCTCAGTATCACGGTCTTCCACCTCCACATCTTGTCGCACTGGAGATGGCCACTGTCTTGAGTATTTTAAATCACTTTCTTGCTTTTCTTTGATATATTGTTGTTTGTAGGGAAGATGACAAACATACCAAATGATACATAAATTAAAAGTAGACAATTTTGTGAATTCCAACACAGTATTCAAATTCTGTAACCACCACCAAGAAACATTCTCAGAACCTTCTTTATGTCCCTCTTAAGTTAATACAGTCTGCTAAATGTTACCACTGTGCTGACTTTATGAACTTTTTACAAATGGAATGATTCATTATATGTTCTATTTACATCTTGTCTTATATATTTTTTGTTTGTTTTGAGAGACAGGCAGAGAAAGCTCCCATCTGCTTGTGTTTACTTCCCAAACTACAATAGCTAGAGCTGGACTGGGAAAAAGGAACTCAGTCCAGTTTTCTTTTGTGGGTGGCAGGACCCAACTACTTGAGCTGTCTCACCTGCTGCCTCCCAGGGTCAGCATTAACAAGAAACTGAAATTGAGAGCCAGAGTTAGGATTTGAACTCAGGCAGTTGTTAGATGCAGGCATCCTACTGGCATCTTAACTATTAGGCCTAATGCGAGCCAATTTTTATCTGTTTTAAGCCTATGCTGTTAGTTGCCCATATACTTAGACTGTTACGTATTTTTCCTCGGTAATTGATACATTTGTTGTTATATAATATTTCTAGCTTTTTTTTTTTTAAACTTTTTGATAGGTAGAGTTATAGACAGTGAGAGAGAGAGAGACAGAGAGAAAGGTTTTCCTTCCGTTGGTTCACTCCCCAAATGGCCGCCATGGCCGGTGCTGTGCCGATCTGAAGCCAGGAGCCAGGTGTTTTTTCCTGGTCTCCCATGCAGGTGCAGGGGCCCAAGCACTTGAGCCATCCTCCACTGTCCTCCTGGGCCACAGCAGAGAGCTGGACTGGAAGAGGAGCAACCGGGACTAGAACTGGGCACCCATATGGGATGCTGGTGCCACAAGGCGGAGGATTAACAAAGACCTTAAACACCGATAGGGTTTACATGCTGTTGTCATTTACTTGCTATACCTGTTGTCCTGTTTCTTTTCTGAGTCTCCACTTTCATCTTTGAGGTTATTTCCCTTTTGTTTGAAGAATTCTCTTTAATGTTTTCAGTGAGACTCTGCTGGTGACAAATTCTCTGAGTTTTTGTCTTTTTAAATATGTCTTTATTTTACCTTGACTTTTGAATGACATCTTTACTGGGTATACATTCTAAGCCGCAAGCTTTTTCCCATCATCTTGTGCCTCCCAGGGAGTGTATAACAGGAAGCCGGAATTGGGAGCAGAGCTGAAACATGAGCTAGTCTGGAATTTGGGCATCCCCAGTGGCATCTTAACCACTAGGCATTCCTTTTCTTGAATGAGACTATTTAACTAGGATATCGTCTTCTACAAACTGTAATTTTTTTTAATTGCTTATAAGATCAATTTCATTTCAGCCTTAGAGTTCTCAACTGGGGATGTTTTTGCCCCAGTAGATACTTGGAAGTACTTGGAGATACTTTTGTCACAGCCAGGGGATGGGGGCAATACCATGGCATTGACTGGATAGAAGCCAAGGTGCTGCCAGGAACCTATAGTGAAGAAGACAATCCCCTGCCACAGAGACTTAGCTGGTCCACAATGTCAGTTGTGCCTAGGTGGAGAACTCCTGACTAGAGTGTTGCTACCTGTCTCTGCCTTTATCTCCTGCCGTGTCTAAATTTTTCTGTCAGTGTTTTTCTGTTTGCCATCATGTTTTCTAGCAAAGAAATTAAAAGTTCTGATTTCTTAATTTACAAAAGGAAAACTTAAAAAGTTATAAAGAAGATTATAGCTGGGCATTTTAATAACCTTCATGAAAGATGATGTAATAGTTTGAGCAATACAGAAAGAAAATTGAAGGCTGATGCATAATGATTTATTCCATGTTGGTTCACCTTTTGAGGTTTTTTTCAACATGCTTCTTGTATTAGTCTTTTTTGTCAGGATAGTTGGGAACAGCTAATAATTACTATGAGAAAGTTCTTAGGGTACTGAATATTAAAATGCCTTAACATAAAGGAAAAAACGAGATCCTTGAGATCCCATTATGTATCAAATTTATAAAAGGCTTCAAGGAACCCATATGATAACTGCAAAATAGAATCAGTATATTCTTTTACAAAATAGCTCTTCTGAAGGTCTCTAGGAAAGAATAAATGCCATAAAATACTAATCTTTAGAGAACAGTGAATTATAAGAGGGACTGGACCCTAGCATAGGATGGATGTTGATGAAAAGACTTGCAGTCATATAGGTTTGGTGAATGCTGAATTTAATCTGCATCCTTTATTAGAACTTCTGACTTGTTAATACTGCAATGTAAATCTAGAATGTTGGTTTTCTAATTCTTGCTCATAGAACTCATTTCGTGTTCTAAGTATCTAAAGTATAGAATAAGAAATTTTCATATTATTGGCTGTCATAAAATTATGTGACTCAGGCATTAAACCAAAGATTATGATCACTTCAAGTAGGTATTTTAAGAGGCGTCATGTCTGTTTTCATTGTTCAGTAATATTTGAAATGCTTATTTTGCAGTTGCTTTTAGTCTATTATGAAGCTTCATCATTAGTTTTAGTATACTGAACGTCTGCAAGGCAAGGATGAGCAGGGCTGCTTGGCATGGCTTTCTTGCTTTCATTTCTTCTACTCTTGGCTCTTATCTGTTCTCCTGGGTTGTCCCTGACTGTGATTTGGAGGTAGAGGTTTGAAAAGTTGCGGCTCATCCTTAGTAGTCACTGTGAGCAAGTCAGTGTTTTGCACAGAGTTTAAT